TGTCATCTTCCCTTGTAGGGATATAAACAGTCCACCCTTATTAACAACATTTTGTATCTTTTCTGTCCCATTTACCTTTTCATGTCTTTCTTGAATCTTGTACTTGAAGATCAAATTTTTTGTTGGGCTCTGGTCTTTTTATGAGGAAGGGTTGGAAGTCCCCTACTTTGTTGAATATCCATCTCCTCCCTTGAAAAATCATGCTCATTTTTGCAGGGTAGTTGATCCTTGGCTGCAATCCAAGCTCCTTTGCCTTATGGAATATCATGTTCCATCCACGCCCTGCAGTCTTTTAATGTAGAGGCTGCAAGGTCCTGTGTAATCCTGACTGTGGTTCCATGATACTTAAATTGTTTCTTTCTGGCTGCTTGAAGCACCTTCTCTTTCATCTGGTAATTTTGGAATTTTGCTATTATATTCCTTGGCGTTGTCAAATTGGGATCTCTTTCAGGTGGTGAACTGTGTATTCTTTCTATTGTTATTTTACCATCTGGTTCTAGGACTTCAGGGCTGTTTTCCTTTATGATTTCATGTAAGATACTGTCCAGGCTCTTTGTTTTCATCATGATTTTCAGGTAGTCCAATGATTTTTAAATTGTCTCTCCTGGATTGATTTTCCAGGTCGGTTGTTTTACCAATGAGGTATTTTATGTTTTCACTCATTTTTCATCTTTTTGTTTCTGTTTGACTGATTCTTGCTCTCTCATAGAGTCATTAGTTTCCATTTGTCCAATTCTAGTTTTTAACAGATTGTTTTCTTCTGTCAGTTTTTGTACTTCCTTCTTCAATTGGCCAACCGTATTTTTAAGGGATTTGTTTTCTTCAGTTTCCTTTTTTTCCAGTTTGCCAATTGTGTTTTTTAGGGAGTTGTTTTCTTCACTGTACTTTTTTTCCAATTGGCCAATTGTATTTTTGAAGGACTCTGCTACCTCTCTCATTAGACTTTTAAAATCCTTCTTGAGCTCTTCTAAGAAGGCTTTTTGGGCTTCAGACCAGTTCATATTCCCTTTTGATGTTGCAGATATGGTTTTGTTGACAATATTGTCCTCTTCAAAATTTCTGTCTTGATCTCCACTCTTCTCAAGAGTATGAATCTATGGTACGTTTCTTTTTACTCATGGTTTCTTTATTCCCTGCCTTTAAAGAGATTGAGCTCTCCTGCCGGGGAACAGAAGGCATTGACCCAAGCTTCTCATGTTGGGAGCCTAGGTCTTGGTCACTGGCTTTGTGTGCTGGGGCCCCTTACGTTGGCAATTGGAAGCTGTAGGGTTCTGGCAGCTTACCTCGTTCCAGCAAGGCTGGAACTTTCAAGCAATTCTAGGTTGCCTGCTCCTCCTTTCCTTTAGCTTTCTTCAGCTCCTCTCAGATGGGTGCTGCAAGATGTTTATCTGCCTGGGGCCCCTTGCAATGCTGCCTCCCTTGTTTCTGCTAATGCACTGGGAGATTCCTTTGTGGTAGAGTGCTGAGGCACCTGGTGGTTTTCTGAGCTGGTTTCCACTGGTTCCCCCGCCTTCACTGAGGCACTCAGAGGTCCAGGTGTTGGTGTTTGCCTGCTCTACCACCTGGGCTTCAGGATTTCTTCCTGGGCTTCTGACAGCTTACCTGGTATGGGGTTGGAATCAGCAAGGCTGGGGCTTTTGGAAGACTTTAGGTTGCTTTCTTTGGCTCCTTTCAGGTGAATGTTGCAGGGTGCTTATCTGCCTGGGGCCCTTTGTAGTGCTGCTTCCCTTATTTTTGCTGAGGCACTGGGAGACATATTTGCTGGGCTGCTGCACTACTGTTCCCCATGTTTCTTCTAGTTCAGCTGTTCCAGGGTTTTTTTTTTCTAGGGTGATATTTTCTGGGTTTTCAGAGGTTGATAGGGGAGGGTGAGAGCAACTCCCCAATGAATATTATTAAAAAAATAAAAATAAACACTGCCAAGCACCAGGAGTGAGGATGCACTGAAGATCTATATCATAAATTTTTCACGGAACTAATAATAATGTTCTGCAACAATGCTTCAGAGTACAAGAGCTAGAGTAGGGGGAAAAACAACAGAAGCTAAAATGTAAAATCAACAAGACTTCCAACACTGGAAGGTCAAAGGGGTAAGGGATTGGGGATATTGGCAAATGCACCCATTAACGTATTTGACCATACACAGGTTGCACTGAGTATAATAGTGACTGGCACATGAAATTGTCCAGTGGTTCAGGCTTAATTCATTCTTTAAAATGATTTTTAACTACACTGTCCTATTTTACATGAGATACAGTATTTGTTCTTCCCATTTGCATGCAGATTTATGCCTTTTGATTATTTCTACCACAGCTTACCCCCATCCAAAATCTACCTGCAACATCAAGTTAACAAAAAGTATCAGTGGCAAAAGAAATGCTAATGACTTTCTGAAGAATTTTCTACTTGACACCCCTAGAACACCACCTTTTCTTTCCTCTTCCCAACCAATAAAAAAAGGCAAGAAATATTTAACCACTAGATGGCATAGAAAACACATTTCTTAGGTAACTTCAAGATTTCATTGGTGTACTTTACCCTTGCTGCCAGAAATCCCAACAAGCCTTAAAATGAGAGTTCTTAACCTCTTTATGCCATGAACCCCTTTGACAAAATCTAGTGAAGACTGTGAAGCCCTTCTTAAAATGTTTTAAATGCATAAGATAAATACATGAAATTACATAGGAAATGAGTTACAATGAAATTGCTATTAAAATATTATTTTTAAAAAACAAATTCACGGACCCCAGGTTAAGACCTCTCTTTGCCTCAGGGGATAGCTTCAAGACTGACTGTGGCCCAAAATGTTCATCACCTGGTGATAAGCCTATAAAAACTTAGCTGCTCTAATCTTCAAACTAGTCTATTGCCTAGAAATGGTCTCTCAGGTGCCTTTCATCTCTAAATCCTACAGCTGTGCTAGACTGCAATCCCTCCACCCCCACCCACACTCAAAGCCCATCCAGCCCGAAATAATATCAGAGTCTCTGTTTCACTAGCAATTTCAGAAACTCCAATTTTAGAAACCTTATTGAGGGTTACTTCAATAATCATCGGAATAGGACTTCTGAAGAGATTTCTTAGGTATCAGAAAATATTATGTTAGGTTTCTAAATCTTTAAAAAAAAATTGAAATTGAATGTTATAAAACTCTAATTCCTTTATCACCATCTCCTCCACTTTCTCCCCACCTGGATGCAGTCCCTGCTTGTCTTGGCTCTGATAGTAAGCTTCTGCTTTATCTGGGCAGGCCCCAGGCATCCACCTCACTTCCAGGCCTGCTCCACATCACATCACCATAACAAACATGGGATCAGCTCCCCTTTATGTGCTAATGTCCCTTAGGAGAATGTAAGCTCCTTGAGAATAGGGCCTATCTTACTTGCTTGTATTTGTACCCTTAGGTGGCTAGTGGCACATTGGATAGAATGTCAAGCCTAAAGTCAGGAAAACATCTTCCTGAATTCAAACCTGGCCTCAGATAATTACTACCTGTGTGACCCTGGGCAAGTCACTTAGCCTGTTGGCCTCAGTTTCCTCATCTGTAAAATGAGCCAGAGAAGGAAATGGCAAACTACTCCAGTATCTTTGCCAAGAAAACCCCAAATGGCCTCATGAAAAGTTGGATCTGACTGAAATGATGACTGAACAACACAAAACTGGGATTAAAAACAGCTCCAGGGTTAGCCTTCAAACAGAAAATTCCCTGGGAATTTTTGCTTCCCAAAGGAATGAGGAGAGTGGAAGGGAGAAGTGGGATATCTTCTGTAAAGGTCACACCCTGGAAGCCAAGGCCCTTTTGCTTTTGCTACTCTTCAATCTACTTCTTGCACCCTTCTTGCCTCATTAAATAAAATTACCTTGATATAAATAAGGGACACCATGACCAGAAACACAGATATAAGAACAAGCATGAACATAAAAGGATTGAAGATTTTATTTTGTTCTACGGCACCTTGTAAATGACTGTAATACATCATTGTCTCAGTCTACCCTTTATCCAACGTAGATCTTTTTCTGCTTTTTCCTCCATGAACAAAACTAATCCTTTACCAATTTTTTTTACATGCAGTTTTGTCCTTCCTGGGTAGACTTTCCTTTAGACCTAACTACAAGTTCCTAACCATTTTATCAATCAAATCATTTTGATTTCTGATCTTTTGCTCCAAAGTGTGAGCCCCATTATTATCTTGCCCTTTCCTTCTCTCGCCTTCACCCCAAATTGGTATGGCATAATTTAATAAATACATTCTCGATTCAGTCAAACAGATCACAAGAAGCAAGTAATGACCAAAAGCAGATATTTAAAACAGATTTCAGATTAACTAAATAATTCATGGTACATTAACAATTTAAAATTAGCAATTTGCAAGAGAAAGAGAGAAGCAGAAAGAGAAAGAGACAAAAATGAAAGAGAGACAGAGATAGAGAGAACATAAGCTGCTTGAGACAGTGGAGAGAACATCGGATTTAGAATCCGAGGACTCTGAGGCCAAATCCTGTTCTAACACTTATTAGCCATGGAACCTTGGACAAATTAATTAACCTCTATGGGCATCTATTTCCTCTAACTTTTGATGGAGTTAGACTAAATGATCTCTTAGGTCCCTTCTTGCTCTAAATGTGTGATCCTTTGGTCATACGAAGGAAGAACTGACCCAAACCCTTTTCATCTAAAATTTAATAGAGAACTACATATCCTAATGTTAACAGTAAATTTCAAGTTTGTTTTTTTTTAAGAAACAAAATCTTCCCAAAACTGAGGTTACTTATTTTGAAAGCCCCTCCTGCTATGATTTTAACTGTGTCCAATGAGCCTCAAAACAACAAAAGAAATGAATCCAGCTAAGTGGAACCCCCACACTACTTCTGGTCCCCTGATATGTCACATTTACTTTCTATCAAAGGGTCTCATTTTTTTACATTTTTATTATAATTTTGTTAAATTATAATCCAATAATTTATCAATAACTTTCAAACTGGTTGCTGAGGACACTTACCCTGCATTATTACTGACTGCCGTTAGTCCTTTTACTCCAGTCTTCAATAAAGCTCCTATGAGGTTCTCTGGAATTCCACAGAGCCCAAAACCTATAGTATTCCCAAAAGAATAAGCAAAGTGTCAGAAAGGGACATTTTTTTTGGGTGAGAGTAACACTTACCACTTAAATTTCCTTCTTATTTAAAATGACTTTGTAAATGGGAAAGGGAAAGGAAAAACTACTAAATATGTTAGGCCTGACTGAATTATAGTCCTGTTTTAGTTCATGTAAAGCTGAAAGAAAAAACTCTCTATTCAGAGAGCTTTGATCTATAATGCAATACTTGTGATAACTGACAAGTCATAAGATACATCTTCTATTTCCATTGTTTTTAGATTGTTATCTTATGTTATCCCATGTGGCTGGTTACAAGAGGCAGCCTGGGTAGCAGATAGACTGTCTGCCTTGGATTCAGGAAGACCTGAGTTCAAGTCATGCCTCCCAACACTTACATAAATTCCTTGAAGGCAGAGACTGTTTCCCCTTATCTTTGTATCCCCAAGACCTAGAGCAGGATAAGTACTTACTAAAAGCTTGTTAGGGTAACTAGGTGGTGCAGTAGATATAGTGCAGGGCCTGTAGTCAGGAAGACTCATCTTCTTGAGTTCAAATCCAGCCTTAGACATTTAGTAGTTGTGTGACCCTGTGCAAGTGACTTAAACCTGTTGGCCTCAGTCTCCTCCTCTGTAAAATGAGCTGGAGAAGGAAATAGCAAACCACCCCAGTATCTCTGCCAAGAAAACCCCTAACAGGGTCACAGAGAATCAGACACCACTGAAAACAACTGAACAACAAACCAAACCCAGGTAAAAACTAAGACACCAAGTCAGGTACTGTGAGGAACACAAAAAAGACAAGGGCCCCGGCCTTCTGGAGCTTAGCTGCTAAGAAGGCAGAAAAGATAAGTACACAAATAGCTATGATAAAGGGCAGAATGTAGACATACAATGAAAGGAATACAAAATGCTATGAGGATTAGAAGAGAGAAATGTCATTTCTTCCTGGAATTAGTGAAAGCTTATTCATGCTTTTTCTAAAATAGAACAGTACCTCAGTTTCTAAAAGGAAGGAACTGGACCAAAATTATCTGAGAGGTTTCTTCAAGTTCTAAAAGTCTTAGCATATAGCTTGTAAAATGTTTTAGCCTACTTTATTAAGACTACTATCAGCAATACCAAGACAATTAAAAGTTGAGTTTTCCATCACAACAAAAAGGAATCAGAAGAAAGGACAAGTAAATATACATATGTGTGTGTATATATGTATATACACACACACAAATTTTATTTATATAAATATATGCATATGTGTGTATTTATCTATGTATATGTGTGTGAGTGTGTGTATATGGAGAGAGAGAGAGAGAGAGAGAGACAGAGAGAATTAAACATGGCTATACTTCCAACAAAAGAGAACCAGAAAAATACAAGTTCTATTTCAGGAGTCAGCACACTGTAATGGCTAAAAAAGCTGACCTTGAAGCCAGGAAGACCTGGGTTCAACAAGTCCCCCCCTTACATATGATCCTGGAAAAGACCCTTCACCTCTAAGTGACTGAGCGAGCAGCTCTCCAACATGACAGGTTATAGAGAAGGTGCTGACCCACACTGGGTGCTTCCTCATTCAGGAAGTCCCCATACCAAAGGAATCACAGTCTAGAAGCGTCACTCCCCCTACTTTGGGGTTGTTCTTTGATTGTGAACTTGGTTGAACCTGAACAGTGGTAACGCCACACAATTCCACCACTGATGCTGCTGTGTTCCGCTCCCTGAAAAACAAGATGGGTCCACTCCTACATGCTGAAAAGAAGTGGAATTACTCACCACCGACTAGGATTGTAGATCCATCTGGGATGTCTTTGACTGCTGCCACTGGATCATCATAAAATCGAGTGTGATGGCAAGTGCTGGTGGAAAAGTAGCCACCACAACCCTAGGAAGAGAAAACAAGGTCAAAAGGAATCATGAGAATCTGGAGGCAACTGTACTGTATACAAGATAAGTAGGCACGTAAAGTGATTTTTCATTTTTCATAGACACTATTTACCTATACAAACATGCAAGGGATTTGTGTTTTTAACAGCGTACCAACTTCCTACTCCAATGCAGAACATAATGCTGCTATTTACCTAGAATACACTTAGTGAGGATGCATTATATTTGGGGAGTCAGCACAGCAAGTAGATGTAGTAGTACCTTGTACACAGCAGGCACTTCAAAAATGTTTACTGACTGAATGACTAGAGTGCTGAGCTTGGAGTCGGACAGGAAGACCATTGTTCGAAGCCTGTTTTTGACTCTTCTAGCTCAATGACCACAGCCAAGTCACTTAATCTGTGTGTCAGATCAGTTAATGTTATATTAGTCAGTATGCATTATTACATATATCATCATATTCAAAGAGGAAAGTTGGCTACACCTTTTGTCCATGTTTCTGAAATAAAATATTTTGATGATGATGACAATAACCATAATAATAATAGCTAACATTTACACAGCACCTACCATGTGGCACTGTGCTAAAAGCTTTAAATATATTACCCTACACACTTCAACTGAGTCTGACAGTATACACAACATACCATACCCATCTGTCCCTCACCTCTGCAAAGAAGAGAGAGAGGTACATTGCCTCAACTTTTACTGGGGTTAAGTTTGGTCACAGTTATTTTTTCGTTCTTTTCATTCATGTTGCTGTAGTCATAATATATAGCATATTAAGCACCTGCTAAGAACTTTACCATATTTTCCTCATTTGATCCTCACAGTAACCATGCAATATAGCTGCTATTATCATCCTCACTTTACAGAAGAGGAAACTGAGGCAAACAGAGGTTAAGTGACTTGCCCTGAATCACACGGCTGAGACCATATTTGAACTCAGGTCTTCTTGTCTGCAGGCCCAGTGCCACCCTAGCTACTCATAATCAAGATTCACTTTACTGAATCCCATACACATAGAACTTTTATAAACCCCTTTCATAAAGCAGCAATGATTTGCATTTTTATATTAAAAAGATAATAATGCTGCATACCTATTAAGAGAATTAATTTAAAAAAGTATTTTCCCCAGGAGTGAAAATAGATTTGTACATTTTACCTCCACCTCCACACATGTTGGAAAGCCAGAGGTGCCAAGAAGCTGTCTCAATTCAAATTAAGGTAAAGTGAGGCACAAAGTTCTGAGCACATTCAATTTATTGGTACAGCTAGCAATAACCAATAAAAGGGGGTCTCTCAACTCCTCAGTCATTCAAAAGACCATGAGGTAGGGCTTATGAGCCTTCATATAGTTTTAGGTAGTACAAGACAACAAAGGACAGGAAGCATAAAACAATATGATTAGTTACAAAGTCTGAAGTACCATAGATGATGGAAAAATAATATGATTAGATGAAAGTCAGGAATGCAGGGCTAACAACAACCCCTGCTTTTATCTTGTTGCTTTGGAAAGTTCATCAATGGTGTCCACCTGCTGGGACAACTGTCTTCTTGAAGCACAGCAAGCGTTGCAGAGATAACAGACTTCCAGCTGCCCACCTTCATCTTTCAACACACACACACAAGTGAATGTAGACAAATTATAAAGATTAAACATATATGGATGGGGTGTACTGATTTCTTCCTCTTCTTTTCTTTTTCCTTTTTTTCTCTTTAAGAAATATTATTCATTATATAGGATGGCTCTGGGAAGGAGAAGATGAGGGGATGCTGAGAAAAACTGATGATATAAAAAATAAAACACATCAATGAAAATGACTTGGAAAAAAATAAAAAAGAAAGCAAGAGGTGTAATCTGTCTTAAAACCAACTGACAGAGTAAAGTTAACTAGTCTTCACAAAAGATAAACCATATATCCTTGACCTTATAAGTATCATGCTCTAACCAGCTGAGTGCATTACCCCCAGGGACATGTTGAGAACAGCAAACAAAACCAATTTTACATAGCAAGAGCAATGATCTGAAAAAAGGGAACATACAAGACAGCCTCTACATTCTGTAAGAATGCTTTTCCTCCACAATCAGACTGCATTGCTATGTGGGTTAAAGGCTTAGACAAAGAGGGAAAGTTTACAGACTTGGAATCACTGAATATTAGAGATGGAAGTGACCTGGGAGGTCTTGCAGACCTTTTCTTTTATAAATAAGAAAACTCAGAAATTAAGTTATTTGCCTTGACCCAAAATCATGTAGCTCATCTGTATGTGACATGCATGTAGACAAGGGCCTATGGTGCTACCAAAGGACAATCAGATGCCCCTGCTGGATACATCCACACAGCTGTTTGGGGGTCACCAGGGCAAAAGACAAGAGACAAGAGGAATTCACACTCCATTCTAAAGGATTCATCATGGTCTTACATAAGTTGCAGACAGGGTGAAGTGATGGACCAAAAACTGGAGCAGAATCAGAAGACCTGCCTTTGAATCCCAGGCTTTGCCTCTTAATGGAGTATGGGACCTTGGGCAAGTCATTTAATGTCTCAGGGTCTGAGTTACCTCATCCATAAAAGAAGGGGGCTGAGAGACTTCTAAGGTCACTTCCATTTCCAACATTCAGTGATTCTGAGTCTATAAATGTTTCTTCTTCCCTTGTGCTTTCATTATAAAATGTGGGAGAAAAGGAGTGGTACACGTTCTGACATCCTATATTAGGATGGAAAAATTAGGGACCAAAAGACAAGCGTGAAGTTGTCCAAGTCCTACAAAGTTTGAATTCCTGCCCTGAAATTACTGGTAAATATTCCATTCAAGAAATCTCATTTAGCATTCTGATATATACCTGTAAATATACACTCCCTCTTGCAATTCAGGATCCTAGATTTGAAGCTCAGAGAAACCTTAGAGGTCACCAAGTCCAATCCCCTCATTTAGACAGTATTTTGTTCTAGTGAGCTGTTTCTACCCCGCCCCCTTACGTTTAATTGTTTGTTCCAAGGGATGGTTTGCTAGATTGTGGCATGGGGGAGAGACATATTCTGGAATGAATAGGAAACAGAAACAAAAATATCAATAAAAATTGAATAAATGGATTGACATCTATGGCATTAAGAAGATTAAATAGCTTTTATTCCATAGTAAAAATTAGTTAATTGTAAATAGTGGCATACGTGCCAGATATGGAGTTGGTCTTTTTTTTTTTAACATTCCGTGGGGAGGTGGCATAAATACTTGTAAAAAGAAATAAACTTAAAAGGGGGAAGGAAGATTGGCACAGTCATGAACCCTATTCTCAGGTCTCCCGGTTCTTCAATTTAGGATCAGAGATCTTGACCTAGAAGGGAACTGTGATGCCATTTATTCGACCCTATCCTTTTCCAGAAAGCAAAGTGAGGCATGAGAGGGTTTCCTCCATGACTAGAAGGATGATCTGCAAGATCCCTTCCAGTTATAAATTCTAAGAGCCAATGAAGAATCGGTGAAGGATGCTTAATTTAAATTTAAAAATTAAGCATGTTGCATAAGTTGGGCATCTAATATGTACTGGGAACTACGTGTTTAAAGTAGAAGAGATATATATAAAAGGTATTTTCCTGACCTCAAAGAGCAGAAAATCTAGTTGTAATACAAACTGTCTACCATCATTTCATCCGTAATTATACAATACTTAAGTGTTATGTTACTAGCATAAGCCAACCATCAATTATTAATTAAGCACTTTTTAAGCATCTAATGCGTGCTACTCACTAGGGCTAGAAGTAGGAGGGATTCTATGAGAGCAGAAGAGAGGGCATTCCAGTCACTGAGGACAGCAAATTTAAACACAGAGTGACAGAGGAATGGAGAACCATTTTATTAGCTAAAAAAAAAAAATTCTACACAGTACAATTACAGAATTTTTAGTTATAAGGGATTTTTATTTTCTAGCTACCTCAAGGGTTATTAAAGAAAGCTTCATAAGCTTTAAGGGGATAAATAAAGATGATTTATTATCATCATTATTACTAATATCTAAGCACCTCATTTTGGATAAAGGGCCACTGAGCTTTCAAGTGATCTGACCAAAGTCAAACAGCTAATTATTGATAGAGCCAGAACTAGACAGAACCCAGGTCTCACAGATTCCAAGCCAGTGGTCTTTTCACTATGCATTTGTAAATTAATGCAATATACCTCAAATGTCCAGCAAAAATGAGGCAGTATCTTCTCTATGAAAGGATTGTTTCAGCTATCAAGCAACATTCACCATATGTAATAACAAAAATTCTGTGATGATGAAATATCAGGATAATCGTAATTTTTACCTCAAATTGAACTCTACTAAAATTTTTTTTAAAAAAGGTCATCAGGTGACATGAAGCTTGGTGGTACCAGTTGCCTTTACCTGCTCCATTCTCTGCTCTAAGTTTTATGCCTAATTATACACTCCCTTGGGGAAGCTGCCTTTAGAACGATTCTTTAGAAAGGATATTAGCATTGTCATTACTACTGTTGTTAAAAGAAGTCCACTAACTTCACTGGTCAAAATCAAAACAACAAATATCTATCGCAGCCTATTATGTGCATGACACCTGTTGGGCACAAAAAAAAATTGGTAATCTCTTCCCATTTCCCTTTTAAGGAAGACGATCTCATTTACTGTGCAAGCCCCAGCTCGGTCATTTAAGGTCAAGTGAACTTTGAGACATAACAAACTTTAGCTGATCTTGGATTTCTGATTAGACAAGATGGGGAGAGAGACGGAGGAAGAGGGGAGACAGCGAGTAGAGGAGAAGAGAAGGAAGAAGACAGGAGGGAAAGAGAGACGGGGGGGGCAAAAGGGGAATGGAGCAAGGGTCGAGAGAGGAAGAAAGAAGAAATGATAAGAGGAGGGAGAGAGGTGGGGAAAAAGGAGGAGAGGGGTAAAGGAGGAAAAAAGAGAAAGGAGAGAAAAAGAAAGGGAAAAAGAGGGGGAGGGAAAGAGAGGGGAAAGACTCGGGGCAGGACTCAGAGAAGAGCAGCAGATGTTAAGAACTGGCTGGTATGGAAACTTAGAAATGAGGCTGGGTTTTCCTACTGCCTCCAACAGTCTAAGTAAAACAGGCAAATAATCGAATAAAGTGTTGATCAGAACGGGTTTGAGACCCAACCATTCCTGCCCCACCCCTACCCCCAAGAAACCCACTCACACAGGAATAACGTCTCACTGGAGCCCTTCTTGTATACCTAGGAGCATGGGAGGGATGGGAAGAGAAGAAAGAGCAAAAGGAACCCAAATTTTCTGCTCCTGGAGGCCCCTCCCCCGCAAAAAGTCTCATAAAGTGAAAGCCGCCCTGCCCAGGACCAACGCAGCTATTAGACGCCGGACTCCAGCGTTCTCCAGACCGCCACGTTAGCGGCAAGATCTGGCATCACCACTCCGAAACGAGATGGAAGAATTCCTAAGCATCAACTCCGGCAACTCCCCCTTTTTTCCCCTCCCCGGCGTGTCCTAAGCGCACGCCCCACAAGCAATACGCACCCCCCGCCCCTCCCACAAGCATAAGTTTGTTTTTCCTCAAGATAAGGGAGCTAGAGCGTGCCAACCGCCTCCCGCTGTGGGAATGTTCCCCCGGCTAACCTGCTCGGGGACCCAGATGCAGCACGCCACCCCGGCCCGGAACCTTACCCGTGCCCTCGTCCCATCCGCGTCTCCCCATGATACAGAGACACACACACACACACACACACACACACACACACACACACACACACGCGCGCGCGCGCGCACACACACACACACACACTGCTCCCTCCTCTTCGGCTGGCACCCTCCTCTCTTCCAGGCGCGCCCCAGCTTGCCAAGCGCTCCCATCCAGGGCGGGCCACTGGGGAGCGCAGGAGCGGGCTGCAAGCCAGGTGAAAGGGGCCCTGGAAAAGCCCTCCGCCAACTGCGGGGGGCCAGGCATACTGTACCCCCGGCCACACACACCCCAAAGCCACCCTCCCAGCCGTCTTTTCCTTTCCCATCCTATCTCCCAGGTCCGGGAGCTCCCTCCAAGCAGCTGCACCCAGTGGTTCGGGGCCAGAACAGAGAAGGGGTGGAATAGGCAAAAGCAACATGTGCTAAAGATTGGCAGAGGCACCGACGCTACAAACGGGGCCGGGGTCCCGCCGCCACCCTAAGTTCCACCTCCGGGATGGAAAGGTGGAGAGGAGAGGACAGCGGGGGCACAACTCCGGGGGCTCCCCGACTCGGGCCCTCTTAGACGTCTTTACCTTGGCTAGGGCGGGTCCGCTCCGGGAGCCCTTGGCTCCAGGGAAGAAGATGCTGAGTCTGAGCCCCGAGGAGAGGAGTTTGTAAGCCGCCATCTTCAGGATGGTTACAAGCCCGGAAGGATGAAAGGTGCAAGGGCACCTGAGTGTAAACGCTCCTTCGAAAGTGGCACTGGCACCGATTCAGCAGCTCCCGAGAAACGCTGCGCCTCGGCTATCACCGCAGGAGGGGCACAGTGGAGAGGAAGGAGTGTCTGCAGGCTGGAAGCTCTACCCCTGGCATGACGCTGGGACGTCCTCTTTAACCCTCTGGCGCCCTTACTGAGGCCGAAGGGGCGGGGCGAGGAGTCCCCCAGGAATGGAGGCGAGGGTGGGAGGGCTTCAAAGCTGCTCTGCACTTGAGAGTGGAAGAGAACTCAGATGACTTCGTTTCCCGGCGTTCCGGGGGCAGTAGGGTTGTGAGGTACCCAGGCTGTTTGTTTAGCCCGGTCCCGTCTTGTTGCAAGTGTTAGGGACTAAAAGGGTCAGAGTCCCCGCCAAAGTAATGAACTTAGATAAGTGCTTGCCAGGGAATTCGGTAGCAGCATCCACCACGAATGTAAGAAAGCTGCTCTTGCAGATCTTGTTTTCTTGCTGAGATTCCACCCCTCTTAGAGCAAGCCGGCCGGCTGCCCTTCCTCGTTGAGATCCCCGCACGCTAGTGTAAGAGCATAAGGATGGGGGCTGCGGGGTCTTCATCCTCCCAACCTGCAGGGGGCTGGATTAAAACTACTAATAGACTGTTTCTTCTGATAAAATATACTTTTTTTCCCCTAAAACTAAAATAAAATATTAACTTGTCCCTCCCTCTACTTCCCTAACCCTAGGACTGTGGTATCAAATTCATATAAAAACGTGGGCGGGACACTAAACCTCACCAAAGATCCAGAGGGTAGTCTCTGGACCATTTACTGACAACAATCTTGTATTGTATTTCTGTTTAGTTAGTTAAACGTTTCCCAACTAGGTTTTAATCTGTTAAGGGCTGTGCACTCAATCACCAAGTGGTGTGTTTGACACCTCTGGTCTAACCATAGGTTGGACAAGGCTAAGGTCAAAAATGACCAAGACTGGAGTCCTTTAAAACTAGAACCCTGTTGGGAAATTTCTCTGCAAACCTGGACTTGAACTATAGCTGGGCTTTCTAGTTGTTTTCGGTGGTAACTTTAGGGAAGGGGGAAAAAAATGCTGCTTCATACTATCTGTTCTCACCTTGGGACCACAGATTTAGATCTGGACCTCAGAGGTCACTATCTCCAAGCCTCATCAATTAATAGATAAGGAAAACAAAGACCCAAAGAAGAGGTTAAATGATTTGCCCAAGGTCACAAAATTGGGATTTGAATCCAGATCCTCTGATTCTAAGTTTATTACTCTTTCTTCCTCCCCAAGAAGTCTCCCAAATACCCTGAACTTTTGATTATAAGTACTCACTTTCTGGCACCTTCCTAAAGCATTCAGGGAATTATGGGAAACAAAAAGTGGCCCATCCAGGCCCACCACCATTAAAGCACCTGCTTTTTTCAGAGTGTCTCAATATTATTGTTGTTGTGTGACCTCATTTGGATTTATGTGAGGGAGGGCTGTGGAAAGTCACCAGCCTCACTTTCTCCTCTAGAATCATCTAGGTCCAGTGGCCAGATATAGATCAGGATGACTGGAGATAAGCTTGGATGCTGTGGGAGACCTTGTCCTTTTTAAAGGCATTCTCTGCCTTCTTTCTTTCTTACCTAGCCTTCACATGGTTAAGTATGAAATGAAAAACAGGAAGAGGAAGAGAAGGGGGAGGGAGGAGGGGAAAGGTTAAGTAGAGGAAGATAGGATGTGTAGGATGCTATGATAGTTTGGAGGGTTTTTTAATGGCTTGTATTTATTTGGTTAAATATTTCCCAATTACATGTAAAATTTTGTAATAATATTTTATTTCCCAAATTACGTGTAAAAATCATTTTAGCATTCATTTTTTAAAATTTTGAGTTCCATATTCTCTTCCTCCTTCCCACTTCTTCCCCCTCCTTGAGAAGGCAAACTATTTGATATCAGTTATACATGTGAAGTCATGCAAAGAGTATTTCCATATTAGCCATGTAGATTACACAAATAAAGCAATAAAAATGGAGTTTAAAAAGTATGCTTTTTTATGGGAAAATCTCTTAACCTCTCTGAGACTGTTTCCACATCAGTAATTTAGGGATAATATTTGAGGGGAAGAGATAGGGAATAAACATTTATATAGTGTCTATTATGTTGTCAGGCACTGTACTTTTTCAAATATTACCTCATTTCATCCTTAGAACCACCCTACAAGGTAGTTGTTATTTTCCCCATTTTACACTTGAGGAAAGTGAGGCAGCCACAGGTTAAGAGACTTAATCACAAAGTTAATAAGTGTGTGGGGCTGGATTTGAACTCAGAACTTTCTGATTTTAGGCCCAGTACTCTATCCACCTGAGATACCTACTCACAGAATTGTCATTAGATTCTAAGAAGATAGTGCATATAAAGCCCTTTGTAAACTTTAAAAATGCTAAACAGATGTCAGGTATTATTTGGGTTTTATCTCTAAAAAAGCTAAAAATTTTAGAAAAGGACTACAGAGGGCATCTAGTTCTAGCCTCTGATATTATAGGTAAGGAAACTGAGGCCCAGAGAGGTCCAGTGACTTGCCCAAGACGAAACAGATAATGAATGGCAGAGGCAAGATTCAAACCCAGGTCTAACTCCAAATCCCACATTTTTTCAACTATTCTTGGTTAAAATAGTTACATTTTCCAATTTCAGCTGCTCTAGTGACTGTGATTCATGCATATGAATGTATTGGCAGCTGGGGAATTTTGTCTTGATAAATCATCTGATAATATTTACTTTTCAGGGCAGCTTGGTAAAGTAGAAAAGTAATGGCTCTGGATCTGGAGGGCCTGGGTTCAAATCCTACCTTGGATACTACCTATGTTCTGCATTCTCCGTGCCTCAGGCTTCTTGTTTGTAAAATGGGAGAGAGGCAGATTAGTTGACTTCTGAGGTCCTTTCAAGCTCTGAATTTATGATCCTAGGATCTTAACAGTACTTCCTTTATTGTGTTGTACTCATATGTCTAAGAAAAGGATGTCACATATTTTGGTATGACTTTTGGTCAGTCAACAAACATTTGATGAGACCTGTCTCCTTCAATCAATCAACAAACAGTCAGCCAATAAACATTTATTAAGCCCCTGCTCAGAAGCAGCTAGGTGGCAAAGTGGATAGAGCACTGGGTTTATAATCAGGAAGACTCATCTTTTTGAATACAAATCCTGCCTCACATACTTACTATGTAATCCTGGGTGAGTCACTTAACCCTATTTGCCTCAGTTCCCCCATCTGTAAAATGAGCTGGAGAAAGAAAGGGCAAACCATTCTATGTCTTTGCCAAGAAAACCCCAAATGGGGTCACAGAGAGAGAGGCAAAAAAGATGTAAATACACAAAAATGACATAGTATCTACTCATGGAGAGCTTACATTCTAATGATCTATGCATCAGGATCTCTTCACACTTCTCTACCGAAGTCAGCTCCCCCAATTTTAAGCTCTTAGTTTCTCAAATTTGCCCAAGTAAATGAATGGGAACAGAAAAGTCATGAGCAATCATGGTAAGGGCAGCGTCAGCCGTATTTCCCGAACATTTTATTTGTTACTCAGGCAGCCAGGACTAACAGTTGTTACAGGACTGTGCCTGGAATCAAGAAGACTCGAGTTCAAATGTGACCTCGGACACTTATTAGTTGTGTGACATTTAACTTGTTTGCCTCAGTTTCTTCAACTGTAAAATGAGGATAATAACAGCACCTATCTGGAAGAGCTGTTTTAAAGACCAAATGAGATAATATTTGTAACAAAAGTTTTTAGTACAGTGCCTGACACACAGTAGGCATGTATAAATATATGTGTATATCGATATAAATGCTTATTAGGGTATATAAATGCTTATTCCCTTTCCTTTCTCTATTCAGTCTGATATCCATGTATGAGGAAAATTTTTCTAATAATTAGAACTATTCAAAGTAAAATCTGTGGAGAGAACAGATTCCACTCTCCATTGACTCCTACAATAAACAAAAAAGATCACCTGTTTGGTATGTTGTAGGGTATTTGTATTGGGGTGTGGCTTGGACTGGGGCAACCAGGTGAGTCAGTGGATAGAGTTCAGGGCCTGGAGTCAGGAAGATTCGTCTTCCTGAGTTCAAATCTGGTATCAGGACACTAGCATCTGTGTGACCCTGGGTAGGTCACTTCACCCTGTTTGCCTCTGTTTCCTCATCGGTGAAATGAGCTGGAGAAGGAAGTGGCAAACCACTCCAGTATTTTTGCCAAGAAAATCTCAAATGGAGTCACAAAGAATTGGACATGACAGAAAACCACTGAACTGAACTGTGGCTTGGACTAAATGGTCTCTTCCAATTCTGTGATAAAGAGGCAGAGCTCCAGACCTGGAGACTGGAAGAACTGAGTTCAAATCTGTGGCCTTAGATACTTCCTAGCTATATAACCCTAAGAAGTCACTTAACTTCTGTCTATTTCAGTTTCCTCATCTGCAAAATAAGGATAACAATACCCCGTATCTCCCATTGTTGTTGTGAGGGAAAAAAAGTTAATATTTTTAAAGTGCCAGGGGCAGCTAAGTGGCACAATGGATAGAGCACTGGCCCTGAAGTCAGGAGGACCTGAGTTCAAATCCAGCCTCAGACCAACACTTGACACTTACTAGCTGTGTGACCTTGGGCAAGTCACTTAACCCCAACTGCCCTTAAAAAAATATATATATATATATTTGTAAAGTGCCTTTGTAAACCTTAAAGTGTTATATAAACACTAGTTATTGTTATTATACTCATTTCTCTGGGAAAGCTACTTACAAGGGAGTTGAATTTCTCACTTCATTTTCTTTAGAAGATTTAATATCAGATAGTTTCCCACTTCTTTTATTGCAATGGGTCTGGGACAAGCCTTTGAACACCTGTTTGTAAAACACAACCAGAGAACGCACGGCATTTTTAACAAAGCGAAAAGTAGTTTATTTTTTTAATTTTTAATTTTTTTTTTGGTGGGGCAATTGGGGTTAAGTGACTTGCCCAGGGTCATACAGCTAGTAAGTGTCAAGTATCTGGTCTGAGACTAGATTTGAACTCAGGTCCTCTTGAGCCAGTGCAGATGTTCTATCCACTGTGCCATCTAGCTGCCCCTCAAAGTGAAAAGTTTTAAAAGTCATGTGGGTCAGAAAGAAAGAATAAAAGCATGCCTTACTTTACACAATAGATTTATCCCTGAAAAGTCATATGCAGAAGTTTTATGAGTCTAATGAGGATATTTCAAGGATATTAGAATAATTTTTCCAGTGAATCATTTTGTAAACCCAAAAA